TTAAAGATTCTGACCTCTGGTTGTAAAAGGAGGTTATTTTTCATCTCGTCTCTTCAGATTGCAAGGAGTAATAGGATGGCAATACCTGCGCAAGTATTCCTCCAAAAATGAAGCAAGGATGTTCAGTGGTGTTCATCTTTGAAAAGAGTCCTCAGTCAGTTTTATACAAATGGATGAGTCAGTCATCCAATTTGATTTTAAAAGGACAGGCCCTATAAAAATAGCTATCTTCTATAAATAATCTAGCTGAGATAGTGGCTAAATAAACCCTCTGATTTTGGAGGCTTTACAACTAACAGATCATGTGCTCCTCCTTAAGTTGTAAAACTGATAGATTTTGGGGTTGGTGTGAGAAAGTTGTTGTTTTTTTTCCTTCTCTCTCCCTGAATGAAGGTGGCATTTTAATACTATGGCTTGTGAAGTGGTGTTACAGAGAAGAGGGAATCAATCGAGTTGGGTGGATAATAAATATAAATAAATAATCTAAAACCTCCTTGTCTGGTTCTTCTGAGAATGCCTTAGTAACAGATTACTCTCATTTTAGCCCAGTTCTAAGAAAAATAGGAAGGCCCTTTTTTGGATCTTCTTGGCCCCAGATGTTATTGGGGTAACTGTCTATTGCTTTGCTCAATAACACAAATTGTTCCTTCTCTGAAGTCCTGAAGTGATTACATAGGTTTCTGGCTTCTATAACAAATGATGTAGCAGGGTAGTCCATGTTTCTTTTCTCAGTCATAATACAGCAGTAAAAATAGTAGATTTCCCAATAAACAAATAAGAATATTGTATTGCTGTTGTGTTGTATTGATCTAGCATTGCTGGACATGAAAGTTATGTTTTAAAATTTTTGATTTCATGCGGTCTACTCATGTTTGTCTGCTATAACCAAACTTTTAAAATAAAACAATGTTGTGATAAGAATTCTTATCTTTCTTAAACATCAACATTACATTAGCCATAGTTCCAACTGGCACTGAATGCAAGCTAATGAAAGGCTATCAGCATTCTGAATGCACAAGTTTCTTGAACCAACATATTCTTTCCCTTTTGAAATGATTATTCAACAACAGTAATAGAAATGTACAAAAAATTCTTCAGTTGCATCTTCCAGTCTCTTTATTTGTGGTGTAAGGAATAAAACACGGTTCATTAAACTAAACTTCTGCCTCAGTGCTGTAAAAATGATTAGTTGTGATGTTATTCCCTGTTCAAAGGGAATGACTTCATACTGGAGGAAATAGTGAAATGTTCCTAACTGGCACATTTCTATAAAATCCCTTTGCAAATATCAATGCCAGCAGTCAAATGGACAGAAAGATCTACCTGCTCTTTATCTTCTAGAGAATGAAGTCATTTCTTGTTGGCAAACTCTTCCTATTATACATAAGAAATAGAGTATTCCTACTGTACATTTTGTGTTGAAAACAATCCATTCTGCATTGTTTCAATAATTTTATTATACTAATGTGTTTAACAAAAGGAAAATGTGCTTAAGCACATAAACATTTTGCTAAAATAATTTATCTGCAAAATTAATCATAATAATTTAAAAGATGAAATAAGATAAGGAAAGAAGAATAGGCTCTAGAAAACTGGAAGTTTTTAAGAAGCGATTGGATAACCATTTGTCTGAAATGGTATAGGGTTTCCTGCCTAAGCAGGGGTTAGACTAGAACCGTGATGGTGAACCTATGGCACGGGTGCCACAGGTGGCATGCAGAGCCATTTGTGCCTGCAGGCAAACTTACCTCACTGTGCATGCATGCACCTCACCGCTGATTTTTGGCCAGTTTGAGGCCTTTTTCGGCCCCTCAGAGGCTTGAGGAATACCGGAAGTGACAAAACAGGCCTGCAGAAGCCTTTCTCAATTGGTACATACTTTAGGATTATGTTCTGATGATAATAAAACTGCTATATTGACTTTGTCAGAAGGCAATTTCTGAAGTACATTATGATATATAAAGAGATTCCCAGCAAAGTTTGTTTCGTGGGTGAACACTTATTATTCTAATTCTTGTAACTACTTTGTTCAGATAATTATTAATTAAACTTACTGAAGAAGTTCCTTATCTCCTTTAATATTTAATTTAGCACTGAAAATTTTAACATCCTTTAAAAAAATATGGAAACATTCGTAGGATTTGGGCAAAAGGAACTAAAAAGATGGAGGTGATGTCTTGGCCCATTTAATATCCTTACTCAATAATAAGAAAAATATTCTGGATATGCACAAACCAGAAATAGAATAACTCTAATATTTTGTCAATTGGACATATGGTATTTATATATAAAAGACATTGGTTTAATTGTTCAGATTCTACTTGGCCAATGGATCTCAAAGGAAAGTGAATTGTGTGTTAAATGTGGTTGGCATGCTTTCAGCAAGTTAAGCATAATTTTCAATGCCTACATCAGGGAGCGTGAGGGAGTTCATTAAGTGAGGCCATCTCTCTTAACGATATCACCACATGTTGTAATGAGCAGACTCCATTATGGTCATATCTTGAGAACAACCTGTACTCAAAACATTAAATGTAGCACATATATATTTGCAATATGAAAAATAATTATCATACTTTATATAAAATATATTACACATTCCTTCCCCAATTTCCCCTCCATGGAAATAGAAAACAAATCAATTCTTGTGAAGCTAACTTTTGCCTCTATAGTAAATAAACATGTAAATGGTAATGTAACAGGTAATGTAACATTTTAATAATTCCCGTAACAATTAAGGAGGAAGAGAATGAAAAGGACAGACATGCTGCATTGCATTCTGTTGGCGGTGTTTTGCTTTCCATCTTTTAATGGTCTCCCTAACAATAGAAAGCAGGAAGGCTGTTGTTCAACCTTGTTCCTGTTTAGTAACGGGAGCAGTGATTTCCCACAGCCGTTTACTTTTTTTTTGTTTTTGGCTAAAGTGTTCCAGCCAACTTAATAGTAGATAAAACAATGAAGGACTTCTTTAGGCATTGGAACATTTCATAGGGACATCAGTGTCACAGAAAAAGAGCCCTCCCCCTCCCCCCAAAAGAACATAAAGTTATGAAAACCCAAAGAAAGCCCATATCATGGATGACACAGCATCAAACCAGTGCATCCTGTGAACACAAACCTGAAAAGAGTTTTATTCTAATATAGGAGTCCCCAACCCTCAGTCTGCAGCATGCCAGCAACCGGTCCACGCAAACAATTGAAGCCCGATCTTCAGGATGCAGAAAACCATGCCCCCTCCAGTCTGTGGAAAAAAACTTTCTCCACAGAACCAGTCCCTAGTGCCCAGAAGGTTAGTAGTTTGTTCTGTTCTGGTATATTCTGATTGGACTGCTCACAGGTGAAAAAGATGAAGCGGGTGGCCATAAGAATGTAATCAAAACTCAGCCTTTTTTAATGTATAAAGTAAGATCAGAGTGGGCTGCTATGGGTTCGCCTGGGTTCAGGAGAACCCGTAGCTAACATTATGGCTGGTTCATAGGTTGGTCCCAAATGCCCTGCCCTGCCCCTCCCACCCCATTCCTCCCCTCCCAGAAATCTCTACACAGCCCATTTTTGATGCAAGGTAAGTGCAGAGCCCACGCGGGGGCTCAGGGAGGGCAAAATCAGGCCCTCTGGGAAGGCGAAAATGGCCTCTGGAGCCTGGGGGAGGCCATTTCTGCCCTCCCAGAGGCTTGAGGAAAGCCTCCAGAGCCCAGGGAAGGTGAAAACACACACACACACACACACACACACACACACACATACACACACTATGGCCATACCCATCCAGCAACCGGACAGAGAACCTGTTGCTGAAATTTTTGAAGCCCACCCGAGTAAGATATTACATATACTTGAAGATGCAATCAAAATCCATCAAAATATGCACTTCACATTTTACTTCTGAAAGCCCATTTTTAAAGCAGTAAGAAGACATGTAATGGCACGTGTGTGATGTAGCATTAAGAATCCTGAACCAGGATTGGGAAGAGTAAGAACAATTCCCTATTAGACCAATAAAACTTCTTAGCCACAAAGATTCCATTTGTCTATATAAACTGAAAAATCATTGCAAATTGCGATAATGAAATGACAGCATACTCTACGGCTGTGTTTCTCATCCTTGGTCACTTAAAGACGTCTAGATTTCAACTCCCAAACTTTCTCAGTTCACACAAGATTGAGAAACACTGCTTTATGGTATCAGGAAAGAGGGAAAGAGAGAAAGAGGCATTGTTACCCTTACAGACAGGCAGCAGGAAGAAGGGGATAAGCACATCCCAGTAATGGGAAAATGACCCATCCCACCCCCCAACCTTTGCAGTGCAGACTGGTTCAACTATTAAACAGACACCAGTGAAAGAAGTTTTGGACCTTCTAGAAAGAAGTTTCTAGAGCAATCCAATGACTTATCAACATTCCCTAAAGTTCAATTCCTTGTCCGATCATGAACCTTTTGGTTGCTAGGGAAGCAGTCATCTTTTTATAGAAAATTCAGGAAATTATTTTATCAAAAATTATTTCATAAATAATTGGTGGCATATTTGCACATGGGAATAAAAACGTGTAAGATGACAAGATATTGTTGATTAAAACTAAGTGTCTAATGTGTCTCTTTCCCTGCCTCTTGTCCCATCACCATCATCCATGGGCTAGTATGTGCACCATTTTTTTTTAAGATCTTGCCAAGTTCCTTCTCCTTCTCTCTCTTGATTTTCTTTAATTTTTTTAAATAGAAAAATAGAAAATGAAAATGGTGATGACTGCAAATCAGTGATTGTTTGGGATGACACTCTCCTGCTGAGAAAAAGAGAAAACAAATGCTAAATTAGAAGTGAGTATTAGAGAGGTTTGTGAAAAGCAACCTCTCCAGTTTGCCATTTGCTGACAAGTCAGTCATGTCCTTGATGGCCTTTATTGGGTGAGAATGCTTACAGAATACTTTCAAAATTCAAAATGCGGCCACCAAACTCTCAAAGGTTATGTTTTCTGTATTATATCCAATAAGGGAGAGATATTACCCTCTTGAAATGACTGCAGCTCTGCTGAAGGCCACAAGTGCCCTGTTTATCAAACAGTGAGTGAACATCCATCTAAACAGTAAAATAGCCCACTTAATACTGAGGGATTTATAAGCTGATTAATGGTGAATGGCCAATTCAGTGATAACACAGTCCAGACTCCCTGGCCCCTTTGAAGTTGATACCTTGAGAACCAGGGCATCTATTTGTATTTTTAAAATTGCAATAAAAGCTCTGATTTAAAGTCACTCCTTTCAACACTTTTAAGAGTGAGAAAGCCTGAAAGTTTCAAAAGTAGCCAACTGTTTTTCCAGAGCGTTAAGGTTAAGCAAATAAAATTCTTGGTGACTTCACCAAAGCATTATCAGCAGTAAAAACTCTGAATCATGATAAATATGGTAGCCAAAGCCAGGACAGGATCTGGAAGCGCTTATCATACACAAGGGGTGGGGAGGGCAATGGAAGCCCTGGACCTGGCTAGTGTCAACTCTGAGTTGATGACAGAAATCTTTAACATTGAGTTTTCTTTCACTGTCCTTTTCACCTCATTAAAGCACCTAATGTTTGGGATTTTTTTTCCTTCCATTCAATCAGTCGTGTTCAATTACAACAATATTACAACAAGCCAAGAAAGTTGTGGAGCAAGCAACAGTATTGTGGGCCATTTAAAAATCCTAGAAATAGCCAGTTTTAAATATGGATGCCAGAACTCTGAAAAAATGTGTTTTTCACATAAAATGTTTATATATCATTTGGAGGTATTTTCAAAAAACCCTCCTTCTATTCCAATTATAAATAAACTTCACTTGACACTTTAACATTAAGTATGGCCAATACTTATTCAGTGAACGTAGAGGTAGCACCCATTGCTGGCCAAGCACCCAATGACTGTGATAGAAGAGCTAGTACCTGGCTCAATAACACTATGAGAAAGATATAAACCTAGTGAACAATCACTTAAATATGAGCCAGCAGGGTGTTGCCAGAAAAGCCAACCTAGTCCTATGCTATACTAACAGAGGGATAGAATCAAGATCATGTGAAGTGTTAATACCACTTTATAATGCCTTGGTAAGACCACACTTATAATTTGCATTCAGTTTTGGTCACTGCAATATAAAAAAATGTTGAGAAGATGTTGCTCTGGAAAAGCAACAAATAGCAATAGTACTTAGACTTATATACCGCTTTACAGTGCTTTACAGCACTCTCTCAGTGGTTTATAGAGTCAGCATATTTCCCCCAACAATTTGGCTCCTCATTTTACCCACCTCAGAAGTATGGAAGGCTGACTCAATCTTGAGCCTGGTGAGATTTGAACTGCCAAATTGCAACAGACGGCAGTCAGCAGAAGTAGCCTGCACTCTAACCACTGTGCAACCACGGCTCAACAAAGATGATTAGGGGACTGGAGGCTAAAACATATGAAGAATGGTTGTAAAAATTGGTATGTCTAATCTAATGAAAAGAAGGACTGTTATGTTTAGCAGTAGAGAAACTGGTACCTACTATGTTGTCATCAGTGGTAATATGGCCAATAGGAATGAGGATATTGTGAACACAATAAAATCAATATGCTGAAAAACAAGTATGATCCCACTCTCACTGCATGAATAAGATTAATAAGACCATTACTATTGTATCCTAGACTCCAATTTATCTCTTCAGCTGGAACTTGGAACTTGGGGGTGGCATAGATACTACATCTAACAGAGATATTCTGTGGTGCCTATCAGCTGCTACCCCAAAGCTGGTGCAAAATGACATCAGGAAACCATAGCATGTCTGTCTTTCCTTCCTTCCTGCTTGGTGGTGAGATTATCGCTCTTATACTGGCACAGGGGGAGAATATTTGCTACTTGCACATTACATACAAAAACATTTCTGCTTTTTCCATTGCGTTGTGAGCTCTTTTCCCTATTGTTAAAAAGTTAAGTATGACTCAACATAGAGAGGTTGTGTCCCATTGTCATCATTAATATGAAGAGAGTAGGACACTTCTGAGAATGAAATATATCTCTTTGTGATTTCAAGGCCTCATTCTTGCAATAAATCTGTGAACAACAGAAATAATTCCTTATGTAGGCATCCCTTCCTCCACTGGTTTTCAGATTACTTCTCTTTAGCTTGTAAGTAATATATGTGGGTCAGGATTTTAGAGAAAAGAGCACTTTCTTCAACATAAGCACCTTGCAGCCTTTATTGAAGTGTACACATTTTCATTGGAGAAGGAGGGGACAAAATGATAGCTGGGTATGTACTTTAAATGGCAAAATACTTGTGCAAATGGGTAGCTAATGACCAGTCAAGGATAGCCAAGCCCTGTGGTGCCAATCCTCTCCAGTGGATATAACTGCAATGAGGAAATAAAAATTGATCATGTCCTAAACATGTAATATTCTCCCTAAGAAAAACTGCAGTTTCCTAAACAAAAATAGTTGCAAAAATGTCCCCATTTAGCAAATTCTCCCCCCACAAAAAACCACCAAGAAATAGGAAGACAGGAGTGCTTATAGAGCAAAGATGTGACATAGCAAATATTAACATACCCAGCCCAATGCACACATACACAAGCTGAAAGAATAATGGGTCTAAAATTAATGCTTCTGTCAACAGAACTGTTCCAATATTCTTCACTGTCTCTTGCAAAGAATGTGAGGAAGTGTTGGTCTGCTTGCCTGTGATTTGAAAATTGTCTTCTTAGGGTTGTAACTCCCTTGGTTTCTGACATAAAGGGAACTCAGAGAGGAAGAAGTTTGCCGGTCAGGTTTAGAATTTGTGGAACGCTGCCTAACACAATAAAAGAGAACATTGTTTCAAAGAACACATAGTCCAACCAACCATTTCCCTTTGTGCATACTCCTCTTGCTTAGGCCTTTGATCACTGTCCACTCTCCAGCTATCATCCCTTAAAACAAACAGGGTGCCTCAACCACTCCCTGGCTTAGATCAAGATGGAGGCAACCAATAGCTGGTATTCTTCTGCATATTACTAACCTTCACTTTGTCCTTTTGGAGAAGCCATAGTAGTGGTGGTCTTTTCTAAAATTGTCACTTTTTAAAAAATATATACTGTAGTAACCAGTGATTAAATTTATATACATTTACATATGAAGGGAAAAATCTTCATTCAAAAGACAAAAACATCTTTGCAAAAGATGTAAACTCTACCATAGCAAGCAATGATTAAAAGAAACATTTCCTGTTGGGGCTGACAAAGAACACAATGCATCTTTGAAAATGGTTACTGATATTGGGATACATATGCATATTAAAACTGCAGCCGTTTTTTAGCATGCCAGTAAACTGTGACATCTTTTCAGCCACCTAGGTTAATAAAATCAATCGATTGATTGATTGATTCAATATTTCTGAGAATGTATGCCACGAGCAAATGGTGATGAAGATAGTACTGGGCAAAACTACCTCCCTTTTGTATTATTTCTGTATAGTGTATGATGGACTGCATAAACAAAGAGGAACTGAGGTTAATGAAATAAGGAGAATATGGGCACAGTATATTATTATAAGACTGTTGAACTTTGACTGAATTTATCCAGTGGGTAGCACTATAACTTGGAAATAGGCATCTCTAGATCCATATTTATCCAGTTGCATTAATAGGTGCGATAATGAAACTACAACCATATTTCCCAGGGTTCTTTTGGGATGCCTCAGAAATTTACATGGCATAAACCCTCTGTAGATTTGTGTTGAGAAAACTCCAGGTGAGTAATCTATTGGAGGAAAGCCACATGAAATTTTAGAGACCACTACATATTTTGAGAGGTAACCTTTTGCAGACCAGATCAACATATCTGGAAATTGTCAGGGTAGGAAAAACTGTTTAAATCTTTGTGAGTCAGTAAGAGTTGGAAGCAAAGAAAAAGAAAAGTGACTTGCTGCATTAAAGGCAGTTGTTTGTTCATATTTGTTCTTAAGTGTAACAGAGAAGTTTGGTTCATAATTTAACTGTTGTCATACAAGGCTGTTAAAACAATAGCTGATCCTAGTTTACAAGCATTTCACACCAAATAAAACCTTTTTTTACCTTGCCAGTTCACTAATCTGCATATAAAACAGTAGGTAAAGAAAGGAAACAATTTCACTCTAAGATTCTTTTAAAGACAAAGAAGTTAAAGGATGCTGCAAGAAATGGGCCATTCTTTGGATCAAGCAAAACAAGGTTTCTCTGTGTATGGATTGTTAAGTACTGAAGCCCTGGTTCTTGACTATTTAACATTTAAATTTCCTTTTAATAGTACTTTTTGTGATTTGTTGGAATTTTAGAGTGGGCTAAAATCAAAAGCACTTCCAAAAACAGTATAAGAATAATTATTATTACTATAATCATTACCATCCACGCAATTCCACCATTACTGTAATTATTACTATACATGTATTTATAAGCCACCTTTCCTCTGGGTTCTGAAAGCAGTGTGACAGATGTAAAACTACCTGGTGAGCACCTGATCCCATTTCAAGCTTTACCATGACACTGTCCAAAAGAGATATGAACTGGCACAAGTCTGTCAAACTGGTGGCCCACAGGCTGGATGCGTTACGTTCAGGCCACATGCACCCCAGCTCTGCAAAAGCAAAAAACATCCTGATACGTATGATACGTCACGTGATGCAATTGAGTTTGAAACCTGTGATCTAGAATATTACTTGCTTAGAAAAGTATTAGGGGTCAACAAAAGAACAGATATGACCCTACCATCCTATAAATCTATGGTCTCACATGTTCTCACAAAGGATACATGTAAGAACCCCAGTTGTTGTTATTGATGCTGCAAGTACAGTACTATAAAGGTGGGTGAATAGAATCTGAGAATTTAGATTTTCATTGTTTCTTATATCAAACCTACCAAATAATATTTTTGATGAAAGTTATAATATTTGCGTATTACATCAATCGTAATGACTGTCCAACCAGATGAACAAATTTTTACATTGTTTGTTTTTGTTTGTTCTGGAATATTTGACTCATTCCTATTATTTACATCT